CCGCCAGCCTACTCTATCCTAACAGGTTAATACTCTAGATAATGCTAGTCTAGTCTTAGTTGCCCTACTATACTGTCTTTAGTCTTCTACAACACTCTAAGCCTGTAACAACAGCTCTTATTAATATAACACCTATTATAAACCTAGATTTATTAAAATTATAGGTGTCTTTATCTAGGATACTATAGTAACTATACTTAGCTTTAGTATTCTCTACTAGGTAGAACTAGCCCTAGATTACCTTAGGATCCTTGCAGAGGGCTCTCTTGTAGTTATAATTTTAATTAAACTTAACTGTAAGCTCTAGGCGACGCTTAATAAACGTGCTAGCCTAGTTCTTGCTAACAGGAGGCTAGTGGTGCTTAGTAAGTAGAGAGTTGGCTATATCCTCTACATTAGTAAGCTAGGGTGGGTATCCTTGATCTTCTAGCTTTAGAACATGCTGCACAATCACCTCCTCTTTAGTGCTTGTTAGCTTTATTAAGTTAACCTTACAATTGCGTCTTAAGAGTGTTCTAGCACGTTGTTGTCTTAGCGTTCTTTCTAACACCTTGTAGGTTATTACAGCGTGTGGAATAGTAAGAGTCGCGCCTTGTTTAAGAGCCTAAGTTATCAGCTGTATATCTAGTTCCTTTAAGACGCTTTAAACCTTTTTGCGTTGAGACATCGCAGGTTGTATGAAGTTTAGTGTGGTCTTGGCAAAATCCGGTCACTCGCCCGGGCCGGCCACTCGCCCGTGATGTACGTTAACGATCTATCTAGACTATTTATGTTGAATGCTCCGTTGAGTGCTCCGTTGACGGAGAACACGTTGGAGGAGGACGGAGGTTACGAGGATTGCCTTCGTGTCGCAGTAGATATCATGTCTATTTACCAGCCAATTTGGGGGTGCTAATGTATGTACATTTTGCCTCCTTTTTGGCTGCGACACTTCGTAATTTTGCCGATGCCAAACGCCAAAAGTCTAATCAATCAAGTAGGAATACTTATGTCACGAAGAAAAGTCGAGACTGCGACAGGCTTGATTGATCAAAAAGCGCGAAGATGGTTCGCTTCAACAATGTCGCAGCCAAAAAGGAGGCAAAATGTACATACATTAATACCCCAAAGTAGGCCTGCTAAGTAGGCCTATTCTGTCCTCGATAAACAAGCATCGTAAGGTCTCTTAGCTTTTGACATCCGCTGGTACATGGCGTGCGCCTGGAGCATCGCGGCAGTGAACCTTTCCGCGATTCCACAATTATGTGAGGGTCGTGTTCATTGCCTCGAATTTCAGAGAAGCCAAGTCTAAGATACTCCCTTTGTCCTCGACTTTTCCAAGAACACAGCTGGCGAAGCAAGCTAGGTAGAAAGTGCTGGACTCTTTTGGCCGGCACCCCGCGTTCTGACGGCACACCTCCTCGCTGTCAAAGGCCTAGCTACTATCAACCACGACACCGGCTGAAAGCGAGAAGCGACGTGTAGAACCTATATAAGGAGTTATGAAAGCTGCTGCGCAGATT